AGGCGAATGGATAAGGAAGCTGTGGTACATATACACCATGGAATATTACTCAGCCATTAAAAAGAATTCATTTGAATCAGTTCTAATGAGATGGATGAAACTGGAGCCCATTATACAGAGCGAAGTAAGCCAGAAAGATAAAGACCATTACAGTATACTAACACATATATATGGAATTTAGAAAGATGGTAACGATAACCCTATATGCAAAACAGAAAAAGAGACTCAGATGTATAGAACAGACTTGTGGACTCTGTGGGAGGAGGCGAGGGTGGGATGTTTCAAGAGAATAGCATCGAAACATGTATATTATCTAGGGTGAGACAGATCACCAGCCCAGGTTGGATGCATGAGACAAGTGCTCGGACTTGGTGCACTGGGAAGACCCAGAGGGATAGGGCGGAGAGGGAGGTGGGAGGGGGGACCTGGATGGGGAATACATGTAAATCCATGGCTAATTCATTTCAATGTATGACAAAAACCACTGCAATGATGTAAAGTAATTAGCCTCCAACTAATAAAAATAAATGGAAAAAAAACCAACAACAACAACAAAAAAAGATTATCAGGCACTTAATGAAGCAGAGATACATGAGTCATTATGATGTGAAAAATCTGTCAGTTGAAGCTAACCCAGAATTGGATTAAGAGTAGGACATTAAACTATATTCAAAAAGCTAAATAGAATATCTTTAAAAGACTCAAACTTCTGGAGATGAAAGCCACAAGGACTGAGATTTTTAAATATGATGAATAGAATAAACAACATATAAGACATTACAGGAAAGAAAAAGATTAGTATACTGGAGACATAATAATAAAATGTATCTAAAATGAACCATTGAGAGACAAAAGGACATAAAAGAAAAGTGCATTAGTGAGCTTTGGGACAACTTCAGGCAGCCTAATATGATTGTCTTTGGAGTTTCTGGAGAAAGGGAGTGGGGCATAGAAAAATATTTAAATAAGTAATGGCTGAATAGTTTTCACAGTTGTTGAAATTTTAAATCCACAGATCCTAGAGCTCAGTGAATCCCATTCACAAGAAACATGAAGAAACTATACCGTCATATCAAGATTGAATTATTTAGAAGTAGTGATGAAAAGGAAATTTTAAAAACAGCTGAAGGAGAAAAGGAAAAAAAAAACACTATAGATGAATAAAGGTAAGATTGACAACAGATTTATCAGAAATGATTCAAAACAAGGATGTCCACACTGGTATGGAGGTTTTTGCTTCCCACTTTCTTTGACACTGTCACAGGGAGGGTTTGGGGCATTGCATTACAGCCTCATAAGGCTGGCTCCCTTGTTTAGCCTGCCCACTCCACTTTTGAGTTTGTGTCACCCCTGTGTTGTGAGCAAGTTTCTCTGTGCCATTTTTCCAACAGTGTTATTTCTTAATTAAGCTATATACATTTTTTTAGACATAATGTTATTGGACACTTACTGGACTAAACTATAGTGTAAACATAGTTTTATATGTACTGGGAAACCAAAAAATTCATGTGATTTGTTATTACAATAGTTACTTTATTGCAGTGGTCTGCAACCAAACTCACAATATCCTTGAGATGTGTCTGCATAATTTTAAAAAATAATGATCTAAAATAATGTGAACTCTATCAATAAAATTTTATATGTGTTAAACATGATTAGTCAGATTCATATTAAACTCCTAAAATTGTCCTGAAAATGGAATTTATTTTATGTGTCCTTGTTTTAAGATGATTTTTTTGGCCCATATTGGACATTAACTCTCAATGAGATTTATGATTTGGAATTAATTATATTGCCCTTAGTGCTACAGACATCACATGATTTGGCTTTCCCATGGAAGCACAAGACATAAAGCCTCTGAGGACAAAGTTCTTGTGTTTGCTTGCATAGCCTTCTCTTTTTTCTTTATATATTCACTCAAAAATATGTGCCAAGGAGGGATGGGATGGTAATTTCTGAAAAGTAATTCCTCTTTGTCTTTTTCCTTTGGCATTGTGACTTTCATTTTCACCTACTGGAGAACAGTAAAAACTAATCTTTATTAATAATATTCTTCAAATTGCATTTTTACAATATATCAGAAGTGTCATTTGTGTTAAGAAGTCCATATGAAGCATTTTTATAACTTTAATATAAACTCTCATTAAATATCCTTAACTGCTCATCTGTGTTTCTGAAATATTTTCTTTTGGATTTAGAGAATTTTATATGTCCCTGAGAAACTCCACTCAGAGGACAAGTCTCCAGGTAATTTTTGTGACAATTGGTATAAGTTAAATGAATTTGTTGGGGTTGGGAGTGACTGAAGATTGTTGGTGGGATTGATAGCATATCACATGAAAAGCTGCATACAGATGTTTATAGCAGCTTTATTCATATCTGCCAAAGCTTGGAAGCAACTAAGATGTCCTTCAGTAGGTGAATGAATGAATAAACTGTGGTACCACCAGACAGTGGAATATCATTTAGTGCTAAAAAGAAATGAACTATCAAGTCATAAGAAAACATGGGATAAACTTAAATGCATATTACTAAGTGAAAGAAGATAATCTGAAAAGGCTACATACTGTATGATGCCAACTATATGACACTTGGGAAAAGGCAAAACTATTTGGAGACAGTAAAAATAACAGTGGTTGCCATGGGTACAAGGGTGCACTAATGAATAGGTAAAGCACAGAGGGTTTCTAGGGCAGTGAAACTATTCTGTATGACACTACAGTGGTGTGTACTTGAATTGCGTGTGTGCATGCGTGCTAAGTCCCTCCAGTCAGTTCGACTCTTGGCGATCCTATGGACCGTAGTCCACCAGGCTCCTCTGTCCATGAGATTCTCCAGGCAAGAATACTGGAGTGGGTTGCTGTGCTGTCCTCCAGGGGATCTTCTGGACGCAGCGATAAAACCCTCCTCTCTTAAGACTCCCTCATTGACAGGCAGGTTCTTTACCACTAGTGCTGCCTGGAGAGCCCCGTGCTTGAACTGCATGTATATCAAAACACATGAATGTGTAACATCAAGAGTGAATGAAGGACTTCCCTGGTGGTCCAATGGTTAAGAATCCACCAGTCAATGCGGAGGATTCAGGTTTGATCCCTTGTCCAGGAGGGATCAACTAAGCCTCTGTGCCACAAATCCTGAGCCTGCACACCTAGAGCCCAGGCTTTGAAACAAGAGAAGCCACCACAATGAGAAGCCTGTGTATTATTGCAAAGAAGAGTAGCCCTGCTTGCTGCAAGTAGAGAAAGTCTGTGTGCATCAGGAAAGACTCAGTGCAGCCAAAACCAATACATAAATAATTTTCAAAAAGAGTGAATCAATAGAAAGAAACATACTGCTCTGATGGGGAATATTGATAGTGGGGGAGGCTATGCATATGAGGGGACAGAGGGTATATAAGAACTCCATACTTTTAGCTCAGTTTCTATTCAGTTTCACTGTGAATCTAAAATTGTTCTTTTTAAAAATAAAACAAACTTTTAATTAAAAAAAATTGTTGGTGGGCGTTTGGAACTGAGATTCCATTTGATACAATGAAAATAACATGAAGGTCCTTGAATTTGACAAGCATTATTTGAAATTTTATGATCATTAGTCTGAAAACTTTGTGAACTTTAACTTCTCTAGGACTGTTTTCTTGAGAATAAGTTAAGTGAATAATATTTACCATGTAGAATTTATATGAGGAGAAACTTAGATAACTCTCTATATGCTCAATAAATAGTAGCTATCATGTGTAATATAATATATTTCAGATTCAGGGCCAAGGGGACTCATCCTTCATACCAGTGGGAGAACAAGAAAGGCAATAGATAAAACTACACCCTTCCAAAAGCAGTTTATGGACACAGAGAAAAGATTAAATCTGACTAGCCTGAAGCATATTGTGTTAAAGTTTTTTTTCCCCTTTTACTCTAGCACTGATAATGTGAGATCTTTTGATAAATTGTTTGTATCTTAAAAAATATCATGCATACTGATACTCCCCCTAGAAAAGGTATTCAAATGATCTAGTATTGGAAACGGTGCATAGAAAGTCATTATTTTTTGATGAATTTGACCTCCAAATATTAGAAATGACTAATATTTCTAAAAAATTATTGTTGTTTAGTCGCTCAGTCATGTCTGACTCTTTGCAACCCCGTCAACTGTAGCCCGATGGGCTCCTCTGTCCATGAGATTTCCCAGGCAGTAATGCTGGAAAGGGTTGCCATTTCCTTCTCCAGGGCATCATCTTGACCCAGGGATTGAACCCAAGCCTCCTGCGTTGGCAGTTGAATTCTTTACCACTGAACTACCAGGCAAGCCCCATTTCTAAAAATAGAAGAAAGGAAAATACATACCTGAAAAAAATTGCTAGGAAGAAGTGGTAACAGTATATTGTATCCTAGTCAGTAATTTTATTGAGAAATTTAACTTGCAGTTGGGCTGATAAATGGGACAAATGATAGGACAAATATCTTGAAAAATACAAAAAGGAAAAATGAAGGCAATTGGGAGGAGTAGGTAACTATGAGAACTGTCAGATTTAGCTTCTTTTTCATTTTCTCTTTTACCCCACCCCAAAAGTCCTCACTTAAGAAAACAAGATTATGTCCGGTGGCAGAGCTATTGGTGTGCCACAGCATCCATTCCTTCCTTTTTTCTTCCTAACAATGCCCTACCCCTCCTTTTTGTTAATATCTCCCCTTTGTTCCCCTGGAGCCCATGGGCTTCAGGTAAGAAAACTTTCCCTGGTTCTAGGGATTGGGATCACCAATTACTCATAATCCTTCTTCTTTGTCAGTGATTGCTGCAGAAATGAGCTTGTGATGTGGCCCAGTTTGTGCCAATGAGATGTAAAAAAAGGTTTGCTAAGTGCTTCAGGAAAAGACATTTTCTTGCTCTTAAGAAAGAGCCACTCAAAACGGTTATTCTCCCTTTCTCTGGTCATCGCAGAGGTGCAGATAAAAAGCTCAGAACTGCCACAGCTCTTTTTCCACCATGCAGAAGCTAATCTAAGGATGAAATTAATTCACAGGAGAGGACTTAGTGAATTACAGAGAAATAGGACTGGAGTTACTGGCTTGTTCCAGACCTACACCATGCCTTCCTCTGGAATTCTGGGTATGAACCTATACATATCTTTATCCGAGATAGCTTAAATCATAGTTTAATTTGCAGCTGAAAGCATCCCAGCTAATATCTGCTGACTAATAAACCTATTAGAATCCCTTCGGCGTGCAGAGACAGAGACTAAGGTGCTCCAAGAGACCCTGGCAGGCCAGCAGAACCCTGACTGTCAGCCCATGGACACGAACTGGATCCAGGAGAAAGTGTGGCTCTCCCAGGAGGTGGACAAACTGAGGGTGATGTTCCTGGAGATGAAAAATGAGAAGGCAAAACTCATGGTCAAGTTCCAGAGCCACAGAAACATCCTGGAAGAGAATCTTCGGCGCTCTGACGAGGAGTTAAAGAAATTAGATGACACTGTTCAGCATATTTATGAGACTCTGCTGTCCATCCCAGATGTCGTGAAGGGTTGCAAGGAGCTACAGGGATTGCTGCAATTTCTGAGCTAAGAAACTGAAAGCTGGAGTCTGTTTCACCCCTTTTTACCTACAACACTCCCTTATCCCAGTATCAGGACCAATTGGCTTAGAGCCAGCTCTGTTTATAAAATAAAGTATATTTAATGTAAAAAAAAAAAATAATAAACCTATTAGAAACGGTTATTTCTGATGTGTTGGTTTTTATTAACATTGTACACAAAAGTGTTAACAAAGATATGGTAAGACTTTTAGGTCAAGGCATAGGATAAAGAAGAGTTTCCCAGGTGGCACAGTGGCAAAGAATTCACCTGCAAGTCAGGAGACCTGGGTTCGATCCCTGGGTTGGGAAGATCCCCTGGAGTAGGAAATGACAACCCACTCCAGCATTCTTGTTTGGAAAATCCCCATGGACAGAGAAGCCTGGCAGACTACAGTCCATGGAGTTGCAAGAGTCTGACATGACAGAGCATATACACACACACACAGAATAAGGAAAATCAGGAATTTGATACCCTAGGAAGAGTTCTGAAAAGGCATTTGATTTGACTCTCTGGAGCTACCACACCACTTATTTTTGAATGATTAAGCCCTTATGTTAATGTCCATTTGATTCACTTTTTTTTTTTGACAATTTTGTGAATTATATGACCTCATACCTATCTGGGTTACAGACAGCAGAAACACCATGAATATCTGTGTAACAGAATTGGAATAGGTTCATGGAACTTAATCATATCATGGATAATGGAAACTGAGTAATACTGACAGTTATAGCAAAGATGACGGCAGGGGATTTTTTTATAACTGGATTTAATATAACTGTAACTTCGGATGTAATAGCCTTTAAGACTCAGTTTGCTAACAGGTCTAAAGGATGAATGTGTTATCAGATTGTGGAGATAGAATCACACTGATGCTTTCTATGATATGAAAATAACCTGTCTTGGTTTTTCACTATACAAGTAATTAGCAACATATAGGACAGCACATTTTCCCTAGTTATCTTGGATTGACTTTCATGTACTTTGCATTTCATTTTTAAATCTTCTTAATGGGAATGGACTTAAGAATGTCATTGATGAAGAGTAAATGTAGTATGTCATTCATGATGAAAATAAATGTTTATTTGTTAAATCAAGCAATGAATGAAGACTTTTTCACTTTTGTTTTAGTTACCACTTAAGCACATGACTTGGAGAATAACTCTATATAGTTAAGATGCTGGATGCTACAAACCATTCATGAAGCTCTTCACATTGCTTTATTATTAGATATTACTTTTTTGTTCTAGATCCAGGTTCATCTTTCCAGATGCCTATAGAACACTTTCATATGCATGTTCTACTATCAGCTGAAACTTTCATATCTTATCTGGATCTTCTTCTCATCTCCCCACCCCTCTTTTCAACTGGTGACTTGCCTCTCTCCCAGTCACTAAGGGATATGTCCACAAGGCACCATTCGCTTTTTCCTCTCCATTCTCTCTCTCATTTAATTAGCCATGGAGTCTTGTTTACTCTTCCTTTGGCATGTCCCCTTCTTCCTCCTCCCATGGCTACAGCCCTCCACTGACTCATTGTTGTTATAGGCATGTCACTCTTTCCTAGCCTCTATTTACCTGCAAGTCAAACCACACCACACATTTTGGCCAGATTAATCTAACTGAAACACTGCTTTCATTGTAGCTCTCTTTGTCTTGAGAACTCACAGCAACTGTATGTGACTTGAAGTGTGAAATCCGATTGAACCTGACTGTCATTCAAGGTCTGTTATTATCAGTCTAATGTTACAGATAGAAATTGTCTTTTAAGTCTCCTCAGACTAAACTCTCTGCTATAGTTTGGTTTCTGGTACAAACTTGGCACAACCCCACAACTTTGCTTATGTTGTTTCTGCCAGAAATGCCCATTTTCAAATCCTTATCCAATTCAATCCCTTCCCTTGCTTTTTTGCCTTCATACCTGACTCTCAATTCAAATATCTATGCCATGCTTTCTTCAAGTCAAGCTAAATCTTACTTCTATTAAGTGTGTATGAGGTACTCAGTTGCTAAGTCATATCTGACTCTTTGTGATCCCAGGGACTGTAGCTCACCACACTCTCTGTCCATAGGATTTTCCAGACAAGAATATTGGAGTGGGTTACCATTTCCTTCTCCAGGGTATCTTCCTGACCCAGGGGTTGAACCTGTGTCTCCTGCGTTGGCGGGTGGATTCTTTACCATTGAACCACCTGAGAAATATTTGTGACTATCTCAGTTCAGTTACTCCATCCGGAAGGAGCATATCCCCACGACTAAATTGCCTCAAGTTGTTTAAAGTTACAAAATTGTATGTCAGTACTATGCAACTTTGAATGGAGGCCTCCCAGGTGGCGCTAGTGGTGAAGATCCCCACTTGCCAATGCAGAAGACATAAGAGACATGGGTTCCATTCCAGGGTTGGGAAGATCCCTAAGAGGAGGGCATGGCAGCCCACTCCAGTATTCTTGCCTGGAGAATCCCACTGGACAAAGAGCCTGGCAGGCTACAGTCCATATGGTCACATAGAGTCATTCATGTCTGAATCAATTTAGCACGCATACACACGCAGCCAAGCCTCTGCTCCCATTTCTGGCTGGATATAGGGAGTGACAAGCCCTGGAGCCATGATTCCAGTCATAATACAGCTTGGTGGTTATCTGCTAACTGTGGTTTTCCTCTTTGTGGCTTCCTTAATAGGAATTTCTCCAATGGAAAAGATAATTAAATGTTGACTTGAAAAATTCTTTCCTTATGCATAGGTACACTGTAGTTATAAAATCTACCCTGTGTTGGGAGAATGCTTTAAAATGATTTTTAGTATGTGTGCTGCCGAAGCGAGCACTACTTTAAAATGATTTAAAATAATATTAAAAAAAAAACCCTAATGATTGGACTTGTACCAAAAATGTAAAAAAGCAGAATAAAAAATTGGATATATTTTTATCTTAGTATATCAAAATTTATATACTCTAAAAAAGACTGGAATATTATTATTAGCAGTGGTCATTTTGGATGATGGTATTGAATGACTTGCTATCTTTTAAAATATTTTATTTTTTAAACTTGTGTTTCAGAGAAGTACAATAATACATAATTCAGGTAGTCTATAAAAGATACTGTTTAAGCAGGTAAAGTCCAGATATGTGTTGCATGTTTTGAAAAGCATTAAGGAGTATGAATAAATAGAAGATCAAAAATTATTTATTAGGACTTACAGGACACAAAGATAGTTAAATGCAATATAGTAACTATTTTGCTTTGAATTTCTAAAATTAAGAAAATAAAAGAAATTACTTTAAACTTTTTGTTTTATTTATATTTTTTATTAATAAAAATTTAAAACATACTGAAAAGTATAGAGAACACTATACATAAACACCTGTATATCTCCTACTGGGATTTTACAATTATTGAAACTTTTGCTGTATTTCTATTTTATATGAAATCTTATAAAATAAATTATAAGCATTCTAACATTTTATCCCTAAATAGTTCATTTTCTTAGAAATAGTTCATTTTCTTAGAAAATGATGGCAGTTTTCTATGTAATTACAATTCTATTATCACAACTAAAAATAGAATAATGATTGCCTCATGCTATCTTGTGCTGAGCCAACATTCCAAATTTCTGTCTTGTCCCTAACATATCTTTTATAGCTAGTTACTGAACCCAAGATCCTAACCAGGGACACACAGTGTATTGGTTGTGGTGTTTCTTATTTGTTTTTATTTACAACATCCACATTTTCCTCCTTCCCTCCCTTCCTTCCTTCCCTCTCCATGGTATTAACTTGTGGATGAGCTAGTTGTCTTGTAAAAACCCTTGCTTTTTGAATCTGTTTAATTGCTTCCTGGTGATGCTGCTTTAACTTGTTCTTCCAGCTCCTGTTTTTCTATAAACCAGAAGTTTGATTTTTTTTTTTTTTGCTTATCAATCAGGAATTTATTTTTGTCAGGTTGAATCATTCAAGTACATTTCGACACAATTATTAGTAATGTAACCTAGTTCCTAATGCATCCAACTCTCTTCACCATTGCGCTGAGACTAATCCCTGAGTCCGAGAGGCCCCAGCCAGATCTCTTCCCACAAAACCACATTCCTCTCCTCCAGCCAAGTCTTTCAGGTGATGCCTCAGCATCAATTTAAGATTGATTAGTTTTCTGAAAATGAAATCCTCTAATTAAATTAAGTAGTTAACATTTAAATACACTTAAATTTTAGAAATCCCTTGGAGTATGTGAAAAACATCTTTGACTCTGAAATATGGTCTTCCAAATATAAATACTGTATTAAACCAAATGACTTAGTGGGTTAATTCATTTTTCTTCAAGTGTTAGCTCAGTTCTTTTAAAACTCTTTTTCACATTCTGCTAAATAAAAATATCGATATGTGTCATGCAAGCTGCAGAACTGGTGGCTTCTGCTGTGTAGGCATCCCAAGGCCCTTATGCTGCCTCTTTTCTGGGGCTCACAGGAGCCGGAACACAAGTGCCCTTGTGTGTGCTTTGCTGTGCCTCCCAAGGCACTCCTTCTGCCAATCAAAAATGACTGTTCCCACTGTGCCAACCTCTCACATCGGTCCCTGGGCTTTTGCCAGTTTCTAAACTTGGCATGAGAACTTGTGCTGCAAAAGTTTGTGTTACTACATTTATCGCTCACTTTAAATTCTAGGCAAAAATATAACTCTCTAGTGTTTCTTTGGGAGAGTACTTAAATACTCCTTTTGAACTTTGGGTGCTCTGCACATGCACTGTGTGAAAGGTGCTAAATATTTATGCAATTTAAATAAAAATTTAAATGAATGCCTATAACCATAATCAACTGTGTATATTTGCTGTGGTTATCATAGGGCATCATTTACCTAATTAATCGAATATTCACTTGATTCATTGACATTTTAGTGATATTTCAGAATGGTGTCTAAGATGTGGCCACAAACTTGCTCTTGCACTTCATAATATTCTTAGTGACATTTTAAGTCACTTAGTGAATACTTTTAATATTCTT